AAAAAAAAAAAAAAAAAAAAAAAAAAAAAAAAAAGAAATAAATCGAACACTTCCACGCGAGAAAATATAATCGATAATGCACGCACGTACAAACAAAGTATGTATCGTGGATGCAAAGTATCGATGTTTGCAAGTGTTTGTCCATTTCCTCGAAAAAAATGTTTTGAAGGTAAATTCTACAATGCTGGCAAACTAAATGTGTAAAAATTTCACAGTGGCGAAGTCAACGTCCGAGCTGAAAAACCAACGACTAAATCTAATGAAATAAAAGTGCACGAGGACTCGTTAGAAACAATTATTCGAATCGAAATCTATTGAATTGAACAACGAGAAATGGTTGGTCCGTCAGTTTTTGACCAGTCCAGTTTGCAAATTCTTCGTGGATATTTTTGTTAGAAGGAAAGGGAAGCGAAACACCCATCCAACGCGAAACAAGCCACGTAATTGTTTTCCTTCCTCCACAAAGAGAGATCTTTTAATTGCCGCACCAGGTGCATCTCCGAGGACACGGATCTTAATGAAAATTTACCTCGCGCTCTGCCGAGCTACTGCAATATATTTTCCATTAACGAGGCCGATCGTTCGTTGAATGCCTCGTGCCTCGATTTAATCGTTGCCGAGCGTTGTTTTCCGCTACTGTCCTCTCGCTTCAAGTTCTTTCGCAAACTTTCGGAAGGCCTCTCGATGGCGCACAAATTCAGACAAACACTACGAGAACTTTTTCAAATATGTAGGTAAAAAAAAAAAAAAAAGAAAAACCAGTAGAAAAATTTCAACAGTAGTGCGTGGTTTAAAATAAAGAGTAAATTAGAGTAAAGTTTATTAAGTACTTAGGAATGTGACAGATATAAAAAAATGTCCGAATACGAAATGCGATGGCAAAAGATGATTGAACTCTCACTGGATTCTCTAGCTATAATTTTTTTCAAAATCTGTACACTACTCTCTAGGTCTTCACTCTCTCTCTCTCTCTCTCTCTCTCTGTTTAATTCCCTCACGATCTGCACTCTCTCACGACTCGATACTTTCTGCATCCTTCGCACACATAATCATACCGTTATATTTTAAGTCTTAAAAGCCTAACCTTCACTCTGATAATCGCATTGGACACGCAGCAAGCGACAATTGTCTCGTTCCTTTTTTTTTTTCTTTTTTTTCCTTTTATGATCTTTTATGATTCCTGCAATCTCTGGAGTTTTTGATGACCCTTTTACCTGCATGTACAATGTA